GGCAGACCCTCAGCCCCAGATAGACCCCCAGCCCCAGATAGACCCCCAGCCCCAGACAAATCCCCAGCTCCAGACAGACCCTCAGCCCCAGATAGACCCCAGCCCCAGGCAGACCTCCAGCCCTGGCAGACCCCAGCCACGGGAATACCCCAGCCCTCGGCAGATTTATAGACCCCTGTTCTGGCGACAAACAGAACATGCAGGCCAGGCACTCTTTGGGGACCACTGGCTTGTACTGCCCGGGACTGCCCCTCAGTCCTGGCCACACGCTGCCTCCCACTGGGCGGCAGGGTCATCCTGCCCCCTGGCCTGCTTCCTCCAGGCCTGAGTCAGGCTCCCTCCGTCCCTCCCCGTTTCCGGTCTTTGTCTGTGGAAAGCTGACTCCGGCCAGTCCCACTCCCGGCCGGTGCCTCTCCAGGAGGGCTGGGCTCCCCGCCCTTCTGGTTTTCTTACATCTTTGGTTTCCAACGTCCTTGAAGGGCACCATGAAGGAAGCGAGGCCAGTCTGCCTGGCCTTGGCTGGAGGCCCTCCTGAGCCAGGGAGACCCTGCCCTCTCCCTCCGTCTGTCCGTCCCTCTGTGGATCTACCCTGCTCTACTTACTGCATGTCAATGTCTATTAAGGGAACACTTTCTTTCCAATTCTTTTCAAACAGACTGATTTTTAGGGAAGTTTTAGGTTCACAGAAAAATGAACAATACAGAGGGCCCCTCCGTCCCCCATGGGGCCACCTCCACCACCTCACCAGAGGGCCCCTGGGAGTCGCAGGTTCTGGGGGTCACTGCGATGGCCCGTGTCGGTCACGCAGAGGAGGTTCACTGTGCAGGGACACCTGTGTGCTCCACCCGTCCCCTGCCCCGGAAACCACTGACCTTTGTGTGTAGGTATGGCGCTAGGGACTGAACCCAGGGCCCGGTGCACGCGAGGCAAGCCCTCCGCCGATCGAGCTGACCTTCTAAGGCTCCATAGCTCTGTCTTTCCCAGAAGGCCACCCAGTGGAAATCCTGCATTTCAGACTCACGTCTTCCTGAGTCACGCACGTCCCAGTCTCCCGCATCGTCATGTTGGGTAGCTTGTTTCTTTTCAGGGTTGAGTAAGATTCCATTGTTTGGCGTACCACAGTCAATGAACACGTTCGCCCACTGAGGGACATTTGCCAAGCGCTGGCAATTGTACATGGCGCTCTGTGAACACCCGTGTGTGGGCACTGCCTGAGGTAGCTCTCAACACTGAGTGCGAGGGCTGGTTCTGTGGTCAGCCTGTGTGGTTTTGAACGGAGCCACCTCTCAGAGGCTGTACCTTCTCAAATTCCCCCAGGGACGAATGAGAGGCCCTGGTGTTCCCCGTTCTCACCGGCACTGGCGCTGTGGGCCTGTGGATTGGGGGCAGTGGTCTCTGTGCTGCTCAGGTGTGGCTGCTGGCGGTGCTGGGTGCCGGGAGTGTCCAGCGCGCGGTTGCTGGCCACAGCCTCTCTGCCCAGCGGCTCTCAGGCCTCCCTTTTCAACTGGCTGTTCGTCTTCTTGGCTGTTTAGAGAGGTCTCTGTGAGTCCCAGGCCCCGGGCCCTTCTCGGAGGTCTCTGCCCCCGCCTCTCCCCTCCACAAGCCCCGCTGATGCACTGTCCTTCACGGACGAGGTCCTCGGGGCGGCACCTGAAAGTCCTGCGGGGGTCTGCTGGTGTCACCGACTTCACACTGGGTCCCCCGGAGGTGAGGACCTGGGTCCAGAGCCATTCCCTCACCTGTGGGCGTCCAGCTGTCCAGAGCCACTTGTGGACGTAACTCTTCTTCCCAGGCCGCCAGTGGATTGGCCGATGCCCCATCATGGGTGAGGACATGACCTTGCCTCTGTCCACCAGCTGGAAAACCATCTCTTCCAGAAACACAGACAACCTGCTGTCTGGGCAGCTGGGGCTCACCAAGTGGACAGTGGCCTTGCAGGGCCCGGGCCGGCTCCCCCACCGTCTGCCTGCTCTTCCTCCAGAGGTGGGCTTGCCACGGTGCGGGGTCTCCAGGTCAGACAGCGTGGGTCCTCGGACAAGTCCCTCCTGGGATGCCCGCTTGGCCCCCTGGCCCTCCTGCCCCCGCACACGCTTCCTGGGGTGCCTGTGCCACCACCTCCGCAGCCGGACGGAGACCGCTGGCGGCCCTCGCGTCATCAGGGTGGGCTGGCCTCGCCATCATCTGGAGCCCCCCCCCCCGGGGCACGTCGCCTCGGGATTCAGATCTGAGGCCTGCGCTACCCTGAGCCTGGCCGACAGCCACTGGGGCTGAGTGTCACGTGGGGACGGAGGCAGGGCTGTGTCCCCAGCCACCGGGCGAGGCCCCTCGTCTGTAGACGTGGTGGGCCAGGATGGCAGAGCCCCTGCGCCTGGCACCTGCACTGCCCCTCCCTGCCCTGCAGGGGCCTTCTGATCGGCTCTGGACACCGAGGGCCAGAGGCTGGGGTCTCAGCCCAGGTCCACCCGCCCAGCCTGGCGCTCAGACACGCTGTGGTCAGACAGGAGCTTCAGCCTTCAGTTCTGGGAGACCCTGGGCCTCGGGGCGTCTGGGGCCTGGGGAGCACGATCCGAGAGGCCTGGGCCTTTCTGCGTCCACCCCTGGGCCAGCTCCCAGGGCTGCTCCACCAGCCACCCACAGAGTCTCCATTTGCTTTTCAGCCCCCGCCCTGTGAGCCTCCGCCTCCGAGCCACGTGTTTCCATAGCTGACCACGTGATAGCCGCGTGTTTCCATAGCTGACCACTCAGCTGATACCCGAGCCGCGTGTTTCCATAGCTGACCACGTGATAGCCGCGTGTTTCCATAGCTGACCACTCAGCTGATAGGCATCTATATACTTTGGCAGGAGGTTTTTTTGGGAAATGACAAGTGGACGGGATTGTTTAGTCTTGGTCTCTCTGCTGGCTCTGGGAAAGGCCAGTGCCCACGAGTCGGGTCAGTGGGGCTCCTGGGAAGGGGGCCCTCGCTCGTGGGGACCTCACGGGACTCGAGGACTCAGTCGTCACCTGCAGGACACTTGGCCAGCTCCACCCAGTGGGCAGCCCCTCCTCACCCTCAGGCCCGGCGCCGTCCCTGGCAGTGTCCAGTGATCCTGACTGGGGTGGGGAGGAGGAGTGTTGACTCCCGGGGCACCATGTCCCTGTCAAGCCTCCGTCCATTCCAGGCCTTCTCTCAACTGGACACGAGGTGCAGCACTCAGGGGGGCTGTCCACCCTGAATTTACCTTCAGCTGGCTCCTGGGGTCCAGAGGAAGCACCGAGCTGGACAGGTGGTGGCCTGTCTTGGTGCTGCCCAGGGTGTCTCAGCTGTGTCCTCCCTCGGGTGGGCTCAGCATGGAGAAGGTGCAAGTCCGGAGCTGTGGCTCCTTGTCAGCCATGATCGGGAGTCAGCGCTGCCCCGGCGTCGGAACGTCCCTCCTGTCACCCTGGCTTCAGAGCAGTCTGAATGACTGCTGTCCCGTGACTCCAGAGCCAGAGGCCACGTTAGTGTCCTGGGGCCAACTGTGACAAAGTGCTGCGCACTGGTGGCTCGAGGTGACAAGCGGTTCCCTCACCGCGCTGGAGGCCCGGAGTCTGAGCCGCAGGCGCTGAGGACTGTGCTGGCTGGCAGCTCCGAGGTCCCTGCCCTGGGGGACGTCACTCACTCCATCTCTGCCTTTGAGTCATGGCTTCTCTGTGTGTCCTCCCTTCTCTCCGTCGAGGACAGTTATGGTGGCATTTGGGTCCCACCAGGTCATCAGTGACCTCCTATTCTCAGGAACCTCAGGTGGTCACATCTTCCAAGACTTTTCCCAAGCAATGTCCCCTGACAGGTTCCCGGGATGGACATGCAGCAGGGGGATACTGCAGGCCGAGGCCAAGGACCCCTCTCCTGGGCGGCCCACTGCGGCCACAGCTGCAGGCCCTGGGCAGAGAGGTGCGCGGGAGGGCTGCGGCGGCCTGTGTGAGCCACATGGGGTGGGCTCCCGGAGGTCATGGGCGTGGGGAAGCGTCCCCTCCTGGAGGTGCGGATCAGCACGCTGCCCACTAGGGCTCAGATGCCCTTTAGCCTCCCAGCTCGTGGGGGAGTGGCCAGCTGAGGTTCAGGAAGGATGGCGCCCAGGTGCCCAGGGCTGCCGCAGGCTGGCCCCGACCTCCGGTCACTGGAGGCCCTGCTGACCCTCAGGTCCCGCTGCACATGCTGCACCGCGGAAGCGTGGTTTTGCAACCCCCTCAGTGTTTACAGGAGCCTCTTCCCGTTGCCTTGGCGCCCTGTAAACACGCAGGGCCCGGCTCCCGCCTGCGTAATTGCGGTTTTGGAGAACAGTTCCACAGCGTCCCTGATCCACGGAGGGGTGTCCAGGGTGGGGCCAACAGCAGGGAGCCTGGGAGCCAGTGCAGGGCCCTCCTCCTGCTGAGCCCCTCAGCCACACTGCAGGGAGCCAGGCAGAGCCGACCGCGGGGCTGCAGAGGGGGGTCAGTGGGCCGTGGGTGCTGCGGGGGCAGGAGGCAGCGGAACCCCAGGTTGCCTCCCCGTCAGCAGCTGCTCCACTGAGCGGGGCCACAGGGTGTGGCGTGTGCACGTGTCCTCCCTGGGGGGGGCACCAGCCCAGTGACACTGGCCCCCTCCCGGGGACGGCCCTGCACCCTTGCTCTCTGTGCTGGCGCGTGGCTGTGGCCTTCTATGTGTGTGTCTGTGTGCACTGTGCCCCCGTGGGCTCCTGCATTCCAGGAGTGGGTTTGCACACGTGCTCACACATAGGTCTGGTGTGCGCTGTGTGTGTGAGTCTGTGTGTGTGTGCACCTGTGCCCCCGTGGGCTCCTGTATTCCAGGAGTGGGTTTGCACACATGCTCACACGTAGGTCTGGTGTGCACTGTGCATGTGCGTGTGCATGTGT